GGGCTCGTAACCTTACGTAAGATTACGAAGCGTAGGGTTTACGTAATACTTCGCATTATTAAATTTACTGATGTAAAAAGCTTCACAAAAATTACATATCACGTTCTAATGACCTTTTAAATTTGCTTTTCTTGTTGAATATATATTCCCTAAACTATTAATTTAGGTTTTCCACTAACTTTTCATTTAGGTAATGAAGTATTATCAGTTGAAGTATTAGCCTTCGTTTGTAAGATGCGAATGCATTAATATTTATCTTACCAATAATGTTATATATTTAATTTTCATATGTATAATTAATTAATTTAGATTGATTTTCAGATTTGGGTAGTATTGGACTCAATTAGACATTTCGTAAATTTTTTGTTGAGGCGTAACTAATATCGTCTAGATTTCAGATTTGGATTAGGCATAATAATCAGGTTTCACCCAAACCTTTATTCGTGATGATTGCACAATTTTCTAACCTTTGCTCTACAATAATCTCCTTATTTAACTTAATAAAATTTATGCAATAATTACTTAATTGTGATGCTTTACAATTTTTTGACCATTCTAAAATTTAACACACATTATGGATATTAATACATGAACTAACAATTGCATTCTCTATTATGTTTTTAAGTTGTTTGATGTTATAAATATCAGTTACAGTTAATAAATGAACGAAAAAATTCAAATAATAGTTTCATAACATTCTTGTTCTGTTGTTGTAAACGCTTCCTCATTACATAAAACAGAATTTATTGCATCTTCAAAAGATTGTCCATATAACCATTGAATCCAGTGATGGCAAATGACCAGGTCATTTGATAATTTTGAAATGACCTCTGAATGACCATCGAATGACCTAGTCATTTGTTGTCATTTGTCATTTGGTCATTTAAATGTAATGCAGGCCAAATTTTATATACTCGCGAAAACGTTCGAATCATTAAATTACATTAATTATTTTGGCCAGAATTATTGAGTTCACATGATATGATTTTTAAATGACCAGGTCATTTGTCATTTATGTTGAAATGACTCAAATGACACGTAACCAGTCATTTGAGTCATTTGAAGTCATTTGGGTCACTTGCCATCACTGATTGAATCAATACCTGAAATGCATCTGGCTGAATATCATTTATCTCTATTTCATTCTTTTCTGCTTACTAAACCCACGACAAAACATTCCTTCAAAATGAGTTGAAGCGGCTAATAAAATAAATAAATGGATAAAAATAACATTAATAAAAAAAAAAAAAAAAGAAAATCAAAAAGAACGATCATCAAAAATATATATATTTTTAAGCGTATCCGAAAGTATATATTTGTTAGCACCAATTTTTTTTTCTCTTTACCGACAATAAAAGTAACATCATTGCCAGAGTCACTTCGAATTTTGTTCAATAAAGCCTCAATTAACACATACTTTTGATCATCCTTCACCTTTTTTACATTGGATTTATCTATTTCGTATAACTCACGAGCTCCTGCAAGAAACAATAATTCCTCATAAGGCATTAAAAATTCTTTAACCCCTTTAAAATCATCAC